AATTCTTGACAATATTTGATTGAATTTTCTCAACAGTGATTTGTTGGAAAGTTCATCTCATGCCATAAGATGGTACGAACATTTTTGAAATGGGGAGGTATTCTTGTTCCATATCATTTATGATTATGCTTATCGTTTTCCAGAAGATCCGATTCAACTGATGAGGAAACACCACCACGAAACAAGTGCCTTCACCAAAATTTCAAAAGACGGTATTAAATTCGTACCTACCTAAATCTCCATTTAAATTCATCTAGCTCAGAATATGTAGGCCATTATCATAAATCTGATCATTCAATGCGCTAGATTTTGGGTTCGCCAAGTTACTTCGAGCATTGAAATGTTGGTTATTGCTTCCAATTTCATATTTTGGATGACATTTCATTTTACTCTTGTATCAGTTTTACCAGAGATGAATTGAGTGCAGTACCGTCACATCAATCAATTCAAGAACAGGAGATATTTTTCTTGGTGTATGGTACACCATGCATTTACGTTATTTCATTGTAAACCAGTGGGGGAGGGGTCCAATCCCCCATAATTATGATAGTGTGGGAGTCCCCTGACTCCAGGTATACCCACTAAACATTCCACCCCGTTTGTAGGCTCGTCTGACCGAAGTCTCCGACGACACTTAGACCTAGTGGCCCATTGTATCTTACCTACATGCGGTTATAAATTCTACCATATATGACTCATGGTGCTTCTCAAGGGTCACTTCAATATGAAAGACCCTTTTCGTTCAGGATCCTGAAGATTGCTCTTCCGATCCCTCTTCTCGTCTACGAAGAAGGCCAAAAGTTTTCCTTCTCCTACGAGTGACGGGGGAAGGGGTTGGACCAGCCCTGTGATGCCCCCTGCACAGGGCTAAGGCTACTTACTCTGAGATGTCGCCCTGTTTCCCAGAGGCCCCGTTAGCGACACCATACCTCGGTGCCATTCATCCATCACCACGGGTTCCCACAGCTTGGATTAGGTTGCCAGAGCCTCGTTGACCAGTCCTCGGCCAATATAATCTCCCAAAGTTCAAAAAAATTCCAATACCTACTTGCTGTCCCTAATATCCTCTCTAGGAACGCACGATGTTCTTTGAACATTATAGGGATTCCCTTTCGTGCGCTCCAAGCGATAAGAAAAAACATTTAGGTCTATAGTGGCCCATTATATCTTACCTACATGCCGTTATTATCAATTTTACCATTATACGACTCATGGTGCTTATTAAGGGCCACTTCAATATGAAAGACCCTTTCCGTTCAGGTTCCTGAAGATTACTCTTTCCATCCCTGTTCTCGTCTACGAAGAAGGCCAAAAGTTTTCCTCCTCCTACGAGTGACGGGGGAAGGGGTTGGTCCAGCCCTGTGGTGCCCCCTGCACAGGGCTAAGGCTACTTACTCTGAGATGTCGCCCTGTTTCCCAGAGGCCCCGTTAGCGACACCATACCTCGGTGCCATCTCGGAGAATCTAGAAAAATGAAGAGCATTTCGATCTCGAAAACCGTGAGGTTTTTATTGAGGTTAAGTTGTGGTCTTGTGATAGGTTATGAACTTGTTAATAGCCACTTAGAGTTCACTGGTCTTTATAAATAAGAAAAACAAATACTCTTCAGAGGATTCTGACATAACGTAACGAAGAGTTAAATATTGGATAACATCGTCAAGAGAGATTCACAACTGTTCCTTGATCAGGTTGTGAAGACTTTTATATTTCCCCTTCCAGTTCTTCCAGAGAATTCTTGGATCCGTTGACATTGAACTATGAATTCTGACCAAGGAACTCTCATGAGAAAAGTGCAAGTCTCATAAAATGATGTATATTAATTTAGGATTTGAGGGTTCCGAGTTCAGTCTGGTCTGGGGCTACTCTTGACTTGACAAGAACTCGTCGTAATGGTCATTATAATGTGATTTATTTTTAAGTCTCTATATTCATTGTTGTTTATTCATGTTTGTCATCACTACCCATAATCTTTCATGTCTCAATAAATTTTGTTATGTTTGAATATGGTCTCGTACTTTCAGCTATACCCCTACCCCTATTAGTGTCTATTCGAATATTACCTCTCGCAAGCCTACAAACCCTTTATAAATCGATTTGGTGGAATACCATCTCCATGTTCTAACATAGTGGAAGAAGAACCTCTATGTTGGGACATGGATGGACTAACCATCCCTATATATCGTGACAGTATTACACTTTGTGCATTAGGGGTGAATTTACTGCAATCTAAAAGATCTATCGTGCCTTTTCCTTTTGATATATCCGATGAGGTTGTTATCCGTAGCTATAGCAATTTCTCTAGTCCTATATATCTCTCAGAAATTTCAAGATATGGAGTGGCTCTAGGCATAGGGTAGCTCTTCCTCCTCTATTATGTTTGCTTCTAGGATTCTCGTCCTTGGATTCTGTATAGGGTGACCCATTCCGTAGTAGGTGGAAAGAGGTTATTTCCTTCTCCTCGACAAATAACCAAGATTCATCTTCCTCTTCTAAACCGAGTTTCCTGAGATATTCTTACAACCGACAGTGCCCTATTAGGACTCCCGTTAGTATACAAAGTTCATTTTCGCTTAGGTTGACATATGCGTTCGATCTTTTGTGGTTATATGTATCCAGTAGTTTCTTATAGCCTGTCTAAGAACTCGAGGATTTTCCCAGATATTCAATCCCTGTTCGACTTCTTCTTCTCCGATTTCTCCTGATACAGTACTGCTGCTGATTCAGCAGAAAAATTCTGGCCCCACGAAGGATGTTTGAGTTCATTTCCTAGCGAGTTTATCTACTACTTCATGTGTGAGAGTCTGAAAGCGGTGCGATCTTCATTCAGGTACCCTTATACTTTGGCGCTAGTCGGGCATCAGATACTAATGGTATTTCTTTCGGATTTCTCGGGCTCCAGATTTATTATTATGATGATTCATTTCAGCTACTCCTTCACACTGATGAGTTATTCAGGAGGCCTGAGTAAAAACAGTGGAGATCGGTACAGAAAATATACTTAACTTGGTACCTACAGTATAAACCAGGGGTCAATATTATCACCCAGACCCGGATCAGAAGCCAACAGGAAGGCATTGATTACATACCATGGATTCAGCCTAGAATGCTGGTTGCTATGTGTATTCTGGATAATTACAGAAATCAAAACAAATCGATGTCGAGAAGAAGTATCTTGTATTTTTAGATTAGGCCTGGAGAATTATTTATTCATACTGATTCATTAGGTTTATCTGGAGAATCAGAAACAGTTTCGAACGAATGAAACAGATTCAACTCGTATTCATACCTTTTCCTTCAATTTTCTAATTTTTCGAAACACGAATTCTTGAGGTTGATTGTTATCTTCTCTCAATGTCAAATTCTCGAATACAGGAAACAGAACCACAACAGGAACATAGAGACATAGCTCCAGGGTCGCATGTCACTGCTTTCGTGCTCTGACCATTAAAAGAAGAAGAAGAAGATAACCAAACTATTCGACTTGGAAGTTATGGAAACATTTTATAAATCATTTAAAAAAAAATCACAAGAGAATACGAATAATACTGGAATTCGTTGGGACACTTCATACAGGATCGGATGAATATCGTATCAGAACATAACTGGAATCAAATGGAATTATGCACCGGGTGAAATGATGAGAAATATTTGAAAACATATTATCCAACACAAATTCGCTATACAATAATATTTTTCAATGGTATGAGAGCACTAACAGGCAAAGTCAATAGTACGTGTATGAATCAAAAGAGATCCGGTAAGAGAGCGATTCAGTGTTGCCAGTACTGGTGATTTATAACCAGATCTGGTGATTTTCATGTCAATCTGGTTATTTTGTGATTATTTTTCATTCAACTGTCAAATCTGGTGATTTTTGATAATGATACGATGAATGTCTCTCAACACAGAAGATGACTATTACTTTTGACAGCAGTGAATAATTGAATAACTAAAATCGAGAAAAGATAGAAGAAGAGAAGTTTAACCTCAAGTCTCTAACCATAAACACCATAGACCCACAGAATTCAATAAGTCAAACCCACAGGTTGTGTTTAGTGTGTTGTGTTCTAACCAACTGTTTGTGTTCTATGATGGTTTTAACCCACAAAAGAGAACTTTCAACAAGTAAACAAGAAAACAAGTTTTAACCAAAATAAAATTACAAAATTACATCACTATAGAAATTGTAAAACCAAAATTTGGAACAAAAATAATTGAATATGAATTGCGGCGATAATATTCAAGGTATGATTTTTCTAAACTGTACGAAGTTCAAGTTTATTTATCGCTGTAATATTCCTAGACGTAGATCACTCCCCTATGGATTCAGAATCAACAGAGGAAACTGTTATATTAGAATGACTGATATTTCCGGAATATATTTTTTTATTTTGTATATGTCTATCATTTCCTAAAAAACCCTTTGGTTTTATGATTTTCCTAGCATATTTCAAATTTCCTGGATTCTGGTGATTTTTTTTTCAAATCTGGTGATTTTTGCTTCATTGATCTGGTGATTTAAATTTCTCATTGATGGCAACACTAGAGCGATTCTTTAGTCTTCTTGAGTACTCATACTCTCCATCAGCCTTGGCGAAAGAACAGGTGAATCATGGATTCTGATTGATTGAACTCCTTCCTTGTTATGACCACGAAAATCTCTCACCTTGGAAAGCATATATGCACCTCCACTCTAGAAATGGAGCTGGCTCAAAAACACTTCGTTACATATGTCCTTCTACTCCATAAGCTCCTGGAACCCATAAAGGGGTGACTGTAATTTTGTTGGCTAGCTCGTTCAGTTCTTCAGCGCATTTTCCAACCATTTATGAGCTGATATAATCATCTTTCTTAGATCAGCATTCTAATGGCTGCTTGCTTATCGGACATGATTATGATATCATTATACTCCTGGGTAATGAGAAATTTCTTTTCACTTAGATAGATCAGCCCGTTCGAAACCGGCGAATTGATATCACAGTTCTAATGAAAAACGGGAATTATAAAAACCAACATTTAATATTGATATCTTCACTATATACAATATACATGGAAATTAAATAAAAATTTGTACACATTAATAAACAAATTAACATAATAATTACAGCTTTACAAAGAAATAAATCTAAAAGAAATTTCTAGTCAGTCTTATGCAAGAAGAAATCATAAAAACGCCCAGCATTTACATTGCACTTTTTCAAATCAGATTTATTTACACAAGGGCCTTATCTCAACATATCACTAGTAACATAATATTAAAATATCGATAGAAGAACGGAACTTCTAACGAAAAGGTACGTATTTGGGAAAAAATTAACCATCGCTTTTCCGTCACTGCGGCATGTTCAGCATGTGCCCCGAAAAAGCGAAATTGGGCGGTCTGTGGGCCATCGCTGCCAGAAAGGGGGACATGAGGGGGGCTCCTCCATGGAAAAGGCCGAAACTAGGAGGCAGGAGGGGTCTGGCTGAGAGTCGGAGTTTCTCCAACTCGGCCTCCTGCAGTCTCTTGGCTTTCGCTCTGCGATTTTGGAACCAGATTTTCACCTGCAACAAAGAAAAGCGCGTTCAAGTGGGAGTTCACACCAAATCATCACACAATCAGAGGCGTAAGTTCAGTCAATACCAGGGCGGTTCAAGAAACTCCGATAATACTTTTGCAATGTGAGAATGCGCCGAAGGTGATATTTCTTGGAGTTCAAGGTAAAATGCCTTGGAATTGAAAATTAGATTTCTCCCAGACAACTCCATCACATTATTATACAGGGTGGAGACTTCAAATGGAATAAATTCGCTAATGGGGAAGGTAATGATTCTTCTGAAAATTCGCGGAACACGTCAATGTTTGAATGTATTTACCTCCATTTGACGAGCAATATGGGGAATATAACCCTTCAGAGGTAGCTAGAATCAACCCCATCATGTTTTTCTCAAATGCAACCCTATGGCTTGCGACCCTTGATTGGAAAGCTGATTGAGAAAGGAATCCAGCGTAAAATCAAAAAATAATTTCGAAGTTTAAAATATTTTCAACATATTTTCATAAAAATTTCGACTTTCAGTGACAGTGATTTAGCGCATTTCCACTTGTTTGCAATAACACTTCGTTTCGAACTGTGAATACGGCAAATAAATTTTTTTGTGGATCTATAAAAACAGTGGAATACAATAGCAGATAGCAGTTGTAGCAAAAAATTGACATCAATCATTCAACTCACATTCGAGCTACTGATACCTTCAAAATAAATTGAATTTCAAAATCACATTTCAATTTTGTGCAACCTTTCAACGTATGAAAAACTAACATTTGACTAGTACGCTGGATTCTTCTTTCCATCAGCTTTCCAATGAGGGGTCACAAGCCATAGGGTTATAATTGAAAAAATTCATGTTGAGGGTGGTTTCAGCTAACCCTGGATGTATATATTCTCGATATTGCTTGCAGAAGGTAGGTAAATACAGTATATCATTGATGTATGCCGGAAGTTTTATGACAAAATATTCACCTCCTTGCTAACGAATTTATTCCAGTTGAAGACTCCACACTGTATAATTAATTATTCAGTTACATGTTCTCAGTTTGTTAGAATTGATACAAAATTATCTGAAAATAGGAACAATAACAAAAGCAAGAAACAAGAATTTTGGATACTATCTGTAGGTTACCCGAGAATGTGGATGTTCCCGGAATTTATTGAGAGCAAGGGATACTGACTCATTTTTTCGGACCACTGTTGCCAATGCGTTTTTTATTCCATCAGTAAATACCTTGTCAAAAATTCAGTAAATTTCGGTAGATCTGTTCAAGATCTATTTCATGCTATACGAATTCCGAAAAAATATAATGGATTGAACCTATGACGTCAAAACATTATGTACTTTTAGTAAACATAAAAGTTATACTTTTTCCCAATGGAACAGAAACAAACAAAACAATCATTCTCATACAAAAATAATCATATTCCTAATTCTCAATTCGAAAATACTAGCAAATATCACAAAATACAGTTACATAGGTACTCATAAAATTTGAGTACATAAAAAACAGAAACGAATAGTGAAAATGAACAAGAATACAAAACAAATGAGAATATTAATCGTAAGAAACAAACTGTTATAACAGAGATATATAAAAAAAATCTGAATCTGATGAAGTATTGTCCTTTTTTTACACGATAAATGACGGAAAAAATATTAGATTTTTAAAAAACTATTTGGTCTCACCAAACTACATCTTTCAACTACCTATCATTAAACAAAGTCAACAATGCACTCCATTTCGTTTCGTGTTTTCGTCTTCTATTGCCTACCTATTCCATTTATCGTTCTAATTACAGAAACACTCTATATAACTTGGAAAAATAATCGATACTGTATTCCATCAACCACCATATATATCTCATGGCACCGATCCCGAAAAACCGTAATTTATCATTCCATCCAGGCATATCGGACACCACTACAAGCTGTGAACATTTTATGCAAATCCGAAGATCTTTATATCTCCGCAACAATCGTTAAGAAATTTATAGCATCTCTGAAGTATAACCGTCATAAATAAAGCCGGGCCTTACCTGTGTCTCGGTCAGTCTCAGGGAATTAGAGAATTCCGCTCTTTCCGCTATGCTCAAATACTGCTTGTCTCTGAACTTCTTTTCGAGGGCCAACAATTGCTGAGTGGTGAAAGGGGTCCTAGGTTTGCGGTTAGGTTTGTGTTTCCTGAGAGCGCATCTGACTATCGGAGGACCGCCATTTGTGGTTAGAGTTTGGAGATTTGCTGGAAAAGAAAAAGAGAAAAATCAATAAACAGCAATTCATAAGAGCAGCGCCTGCTCAACATGTGCACAATACAATATAATAGTGCCTTAACAACTCACAACAGCGCCTGGCAAAATGATTTGTTACAGCGCACGAACAAAATAATACTCGATGAATAACATAGCCTTACAAAATAGCGATCAATCAATTAATCAATTGTGAACAGAGCTCAACATTGATTGGTTTATAGCAGAATGACCAGTTAGGGTTCAAAGGCCAAAATACTGCACTAAAGAAGGCAAAGAGACCCTAACTAGCAACTACAGACCGATCGCACTGCTATCTATCATTACAAAGATCATGGAGAATGCTATCGAGCTCATGAAATACCTGGAACATTCAGGTATTATCAACGATAGGCAATATGGCTTCCGCCATTAGAGATCAACTAGTGACCTGCTCGCTTACGTTTCCCATATATGGCACTTGATATCTCCAAGGCATTCGATCGAGTCTAGCACTACGGACTCCTCGCCAAGCTTCCATCTTATGGCTTGCCTCCCCAGCTATGTTCTATGCTAGCTAGTTTTCTCTCTAACAGGTCTCTCCATGTAGTGGTCGACGAAGTTTCATCTGACTCTCTTATCATAAATGCTGGTGTTCCGCAAGGATCAATTCTAGCACCAACACTATTTCTAACTCCATATCAACGATTTGTTGGAAGCAACTTCATGTCCAGTACACAGCTTCGCGGATGATAGTACCCTCCATACCGCCTTCTCTTCCAGAGCTCCAATACCAGCCAGGCAAATCAAAAACGAACGAGGGAGAAATGTTGACAACATGAATATGGACTCTCAGTTCTCACGATGTTCTCTGAACATTACAGGATATCCCTTTCTGTGGAAACCAGAATGTAAACAAACAAAAAAAGCCTTTGGGCCTATTGTATTCCTGATCATGCTGTTGACTCAGGTGAACAGGCTCGCTACCTTCATGAGGTTTAGCAGTCTCTTCATCAAATCTTTCGTTGGAAAAACTTCATGTGAGTTTAGTGCTCCCAGAAGGCTGCACTTCAATATTACATGGTGGCCGATTCCTCCTCCTTATTGCATAGTCTGCATATGGGTTCGTCTGTATAAATGCCCATTTGATGCATATGCTTCCTCAAGGGGCAGTGACCGGATATAAGTCCCGTCACTTGTCTGATATGACTTCTGTTTAGGCTCAGAATGTCGTTAGTCACTGTTCTGGACAGTGTCATAACCATCAGTTTGCTGTGTATTTGTCCTGGAACGTTGTTCCAGTATGCCTGATGTCTTTCTTGCATCCACCTTGCCAGCCAACAGCGTATTGACGTTTTGGGGAATCCGCCCAACATAGTAACACTCAATGAATAACGACACTTGACAAAATGCCACTCAATACATAACAGTGTCCTAACCCTAACAAAATAGCGCTCAATAAATAACAGCGCCTGGTACAATAGCCCTCAATTCGTAATTACATCTCAGCAGAAACTCACAATAAATAACAGCGCTTGACAAAATAGCGCCCAACACATGGCATGCCAACAAAATAGCGCCATATTCATGACAAAGCTCAACAAAATCAGGATCAATAAATAACAGCCCTTGACAAAATAGCGCCAGTGAAAAACAGGGCCCGGCTAATTAGTAAGCAGAAAATTTTCTTGGGACAAGGGGCTCAAAGAAGAGTAAAAATTCTACATCTTGCAAAATGGACATATAGAAAACGAAGGAAAAGGTGTAGTCCCTTAGAAATTTATGAATACACGAACATAATATCAATACAAGAAACTTTCTGGTTCTCAGGACATATTTGTTTTATATATATTATTTTATATTATATATATACAATGATTCCTGATTAGTGATAGTATCCTTTCTATGCCATTATTTGCTGGCTATCGTTTTTTTCTAAAATTATAATTCCATAGACAAAATGGAAGAGTACGTCCTGTGCTCGCTCCTGTGTTTCCAAGTATTATACGATATTCCTAAGACCTTCGCTTTCAGGTAGAACCATAGGTGAAAGTCAATTGGGACAAGGTGGGGTAATCGAACAGGTCACACAATGTGGTAACCTATTCATCATTTTCAAAATTTGATGAGAATAAATAGCATAGTATAAATTTTAATTTGATTAAAATTATCTGAATAGATTTTACATTGGCGTTTCAATTGCCACATCCTGTTCAGGAAACAGCAGAAGACTAAAGAAAGTTCTAGCTGGATTTCATATTGCCTTTTTACTCAAAACGGTTTCATTAATTTCAAACTGATATGTTGTTAATCATATATGAGATGAATTAGTCGATTCGCCAGGACCAGGTTATTGATCTTTCTCTCATTATTAGATAATTTATTCCATAGGTAAAACAATTTTACAAAACATTTTATAGTGCATTGTTTTGTTTATAAATTTTATTAGTTATGTCAGATGCAGGTCTATGTGAGCACTATTCAGTTAGGTGTTATTCTGCATAAAGTTCTATTATTGTGCCTATTGTGAGGCACTGATGTTGCGCTGTTTCTTTACCGTCGCTTATAGTAAAACACAAGCTAAATCATGTAAGTTTAAAATCAATCGGACATAAATATTTTGTATTTTTTCTTCTCAATGGAATTTGGCTTAGCTTTCTTTAGAAATTGGAATATAATACAAATAGTGACATATATTTTAAAAATAGCAATAGAGATATCTAGTCATCTTTAAATGATCCTTATAAGAATGAGACTGAAAGCTACCATCTCGGCTACCATATAAGCCTGAAGGGTTTCGTCCACCAATATAGCGGTGCTATAGGGGTATTCCAGGTCTTCGTATTATATATAGGTATTAGCGAGCATATTAGAAACAAAAATTTCACTTCCTCACTTTTATACATATCTATCATATGAATAATAAAAATAATTTAAGACATCGATATTCGTTTTATAATATATTATGTTGATGACACTCAGATCATCAAAATCATAGCTCAGTTGACTATTAACACATTGATCGTTTGATGAATCTAATTGAGTAATGCATGGGTATAAGTGATAGGAATGTATGAGTAACTAGCTATCCATGAAAAAAAATGTTACCTATGAAATAATTAATGGTTATAAAATTACGAGAACAATACGCTATCATCAATATTCACGATTACAAAGTTGGATTCAATGAAAATGTGGTTGACCTAGTCTGAGGTGAGAATGACTCGGTGAATATCTGTTAGAATCACATTATTGAATATTCAATAATTAACTGCATTCAAGGTATGCATGGAATAAATCATCAATTTGAAAAATACAAGTCACATGTTGCATTAGAGTCATTGATATTCAATCCAAATTTCTCAACCACAAATTAGGCATAATATAAAAGCAATAGGTACATATAGGCATCATTCCGGCATATTCTTTCACTGAGTACTTAAAAATCGAGTAAAATGCTATATTTATTATTGCGAGGTCCAGCATGGTTATAAGAGACGTATTTAAGATGGCTACATTATATTCAACACATCACAATAATTATGATAAAATCTACAAATATTGAATAATAATAAATCCTCCAATAAATAGAATACCTATTTCGACTTGGAGTTTTGCAAAAAAAAAAAACAAATCTAGTTCCGACTTGACAACAAGAGGAATGACTGAGATGCGCATGAAAAATTGTTTGGAGATGACTTCTGAATTGCCAAACTTTGGAACAAAATTTCATTTTGATCAATATATTGTATTAACAGTGCCATTCGACAGAAGTAAGTCTCGACGCCTTGACCCTTCTCATCAGGATCAAAATTATATTTATTTATTCTGTCACTCTCTATATTTCAGGAGAAGAGTGCGTTATGGAACTATGCATTTAACTAAAATTTGTTTTACCTCGGTCTTTACGAGTGATGAAAAGTGATGAAAGATTTGTAAAAAACTTGATAAACGATATGATTTCCACCAAATTCACACGACTTCGCTTTATGTCGACTGTGAAGTTTTTTAAAATTACTATGGATTTCTATCAAGTAACGGCCAAGTCAATAGAAAAAAAAAAAAACGTGAAATGTATCATTATCTACCTATATAGCTTGCTGTATTCATCAAGGGAATATTAATTTAGTTTTTGAGTGTTCAAAATGCTCGCGAATATCTAGAAGAATTCATGCGTTTTTTCTTTCGACTGCAGAAGAACCTCAATAAACAAACATACCTATTATTTTGTAGATAACAATTTTGAGTTCGAAAATATTTGAAAGTTAATGAAAACAGTTGCCAATGATTGTTTCAACATTTACACAACAATGAGAATGCATTCAAATACAACATGCTACGTTACAGGTTATGAATGAGCGTTTTATCAATTATGTATAGATAGTTTCTATAATCTTACCATGATTTACTTCAACCTATAGTCACAAAGATACATGAGTACCATCGTCTACAATCAACTGAAATCAGATTCTAGCAGATGAGTTTAAATAAGGAAGAAAAGTAAGCTCGAATTATAGTCTTCTCCATGACATCCTCGATGAAAATCGATTGGAACAGAAAAATGCCAGAATTTGCAGTCTGAATTACCTTCTTGGCAATTGATTTAGATATAGAAAACATTTACATAACAATGAAGATGCATTCAAACACAACATGCTACGTTACAGGTTATGAATGCGCGTTTTATCAATTATCTATAGATAGTTTCCATAATCTTACCATGATTTACTATTTACTTCAACCTATAGTCACAAAGATGCATGAGTACCATCGTCAACAATCAACTGAAATCAGACTCTAGCAGATGAGTCTAAATGAGGAAGAAAAGTAAGCTCGAATTATAGTCTTCTCCATGACATCTGAATTTGTGGAATTGATAAGTCAATTCAATGGAAACAGACAAACGCCAGAATTTGCAGTCTGAATTACCTACTTGGCAATTGGTTTAGATATAGAAAACGCCAATAGCTTTCGTGTCAGCTTCAGCACACGACCAATGAAGTGTTATACTAATAGCTTCAAATATAGTTGATAAAGAAATCCCATGTTGATGATAATAAAGGCATTGCGTCGTAGGGGAGTTTGATATAGTATAGAAACTTACTTTGCGGTGAAGAAGATCGGAACCCGCCCGGTCCTATCCACTGAAACGGCCATTGGGGATGCGTTCCAGGCATTAATCTCGACATAGAAGGGTGAAGAGGCTGAGGAATCACAACGGTATGGGAAGAGTTGGGACTGAGACTCTCCCTTCCGTCGGTATCATCGTCATCGACAGTGATGTTTTCGTCATCATCTTCTTCATCTAACCGCTCGCTCGACGTATCCAGCCTACTGTCGTCTATCTCCTCATCGAATTTGTCTTCCAACCTGTCCTGTACCACTGGCGAGGATTTCGTTGAAAGTAAAGATTCCACACTGAACGAGATCTTGGATTTTATGTCCGTTTTAGTTTCTTCCATGGTGGAATACATCGGGAAGCACTGTCACTAATTTTGCTTCGCGTTTCAACTTTTAATCGCTTCAACAACTACCGTTATGGCTAACTTTTTCTGGCGATGCTGCTCTGAGCAGATACTCGAGTAGACTGAGTTGTGCTGGCGAAGTGGAGAGGGACCATGCTTCTGTAGGCGTGGCCTTGGAAGTTTCGGCGCCGCCTACTATTTATTACTTGAATCGAGCTCCACAATTGATGGCCCTCTGCTAAATTTGCGCTCTTGAGTGACGCTAGCGTGATTTTGCCACATTATATTATTTGTCTCTTTGTGACTAGTATTAATTCAAATTGATTATGACATTGCGTCTACAACGTCCCTCGAATTGTACTTTCTAAGTTTGTCATTTGGATGAGTAGGTATATCTTGGTGTCACAGGGAGGCTCATTAAAAATAACACGACTAGTTTTAAAAATGACAAAGGTGATCAATATGTGTATGTCTTTCGTACTTTAGTGATTGACAATCATTTTTTTTCAATTATGTAGGTAGCTCTCTAGCTATCAAATAATATGAGATTCGGCCAGGGTATATTTTTGCTGCAATTGAAAATTACTTTTCTTTGTATTCGTATCATCGAGTGTGGAATATTGAAAATAAAAGTACAATCGACCAATTATCACGCATATTCTTAGATATATTAGAACGGACATAGGATAAACGTATGTGTAGAAGTTCATACTGCTCAAAGTGGAGTGGTAGTAGTTGAAGAAGGAATACATGCAACAGTTGCATTACCGTCTTCTACATTCGTATAAAACTCTTTCATTCATAATGGAAAAAAACTATATGGGTAATTATTTACAAAACGAGATTAAAGGCATATGTGACAATAAAAATTTCAGGATAACCGTTAGAAATTTTCTAATAAAGAAAGCCTGCTACTCTATCGAAGAATTTCAGTCAGAAAAATTTAAATATGATTTTCTCCAGACAGTATGTTTTTCTTCATTTGTTCATTTGGTAGTCTGGAAGTTGCTACTCGCCCTCTTCTTATATCTCAAATGTCGTGTATATGTATATATGTATGTAGACTATTGTGCTGACAATCGCAAAAAATGTGTTTTCGTTGTATTTTATGAGTGAATGTTGTCATATTATGTTTGACTATTTTACCGTGATTTTACCCTTTACTTTTACCTTTGAGTATTCACACTATAATGTTCCTATATAATCAAGGCTTTTACTTATGTTTTTAGATTATATGTTGTTGGGAATACTTCCACAGGCAATGAATTCCAGAGCCTAGCCGTTCTATGGATGAAGGAGTCTTGATAAAGTGCTGTTCGACATTTTTCGAGGTTGACAACGAAAGGATGTGCTGACTGGGCTTGTCTAAAAAATCTAAAATTTGTTATATCCGTCATTCGGTTGCCCCCTTACGAGCAACCCTCAAAAGTCTTCGAAAGTCTTGTGCGAGCAAGGAATGACGGGGGCCTTACCTTTTAACGTGTGATCCCAAACACTTTCTTGGGCCATCAGAAAAATTTCTGCAGTCGACGGGGATTGAACTGACGACCGGCAAGCGAATGCGAATTAGAATATAGACACTCTGTCCGCACGGCTACCTGGTCTAGTTCGTCTGATTGGTATTGCTAGTGAAGGGATGATAGTAGAGATTTCAGAATCGCTACAGTGTAGAGCTGCATTGAATTTCTGTTTACAAAAATCAATTAATCTTATAAAAATACACGATAGAAAGTTTTTGAAATTATCGTCACTTTATTCATGTGTTTTTTCATAAAAATTCGTTGAATCACTATTCACACACATCCACTCATCATCTCATGAAAATTCACAATATATAATTTCTGAAATTTCTCTCTTATAGTCACGTGAGTTTTTTCATAATATCTATCGGACGTGTATTCTTCGGCCTATTTATAATAAGTTTGCTAAAATTTCGGCAAAGCGTGTATTTATATATGAAAAGAATAGATATCTATATAGAAGACTGTAAACCTTTGGCATCATAATTACATACTATCATACACTGTTTCGCTATGTTAGCATCTTCAGGAGAAGATTGAAACTGATTTATATAGGATACTCTATATTTTATTTCATATTCGTTTAGGGATTATCATAACGAATTCAACTATACCGAGTTCGATATAGTGTATGGGAAAGATATTTCAAACGAATGATGTGTGCATATACATATTTTTGTCTGAAGGAGAATGCAAATTCTCAATTTCAGAAGTTTTTATATTTTATTTTCAAACTCTTATCGTGTGTGTTCGATAGATATAATTCAATGTTCGTCGTGGCATATAGCCAAGAAAGTAGTTGTTTTCTATTGAATCAACTGAAAAAGAGTAAATATTCTCATCACATAGAGAATGCGAATTCTCAATGTATTGCTTTATATCAATATATATCCATGTTTGTATGTTAATAATTTATCTGAGAATATTCCTTTTCAAACGATTCAAATATATTTGGATTCGAAATTTTCATATGCTCAAAATGAGTGCGACAGAGATATTGCGACGTCACACCCATTATATTATTATTTGGTAATGAAAATAAATCGAAATAAAATCGAATTAAAGCAATTCTCTCTAGGTATAAGCGAATTCAAAAGTGTGAATTAAAATTTCAGCGATATATAATATCATTGAGTATTCACACTTGAGGCTCTGCGGTAGAGCGGTAGACCTGGCAACAATGGTCACCACAGTGAAACAACCACTATTCTCCGTAACTGGCCACGTTGCCATTATTTCTTAATATGCGAAGGACAATGTCGCGTCGGGTGATACGACGTACGCATTTAGTTCTCTTTATTTACTGATGAAATTTTCATGGGTGGTGCCATGAAACCGATAAGCAAACCTCAAATATACTCTCTTCAACTGAATTTGAAAATAGTTCATTGATTCAAGTATTGATGATTTGATTCAAATATCAGTATTGTGAAGCAGAAGGCTTGTGACCTATAAGTTTTGGCATAGTTCCTACTGGCTATGTGATGTTTAGTTGCAATTTCATTTTTAAACAGTGAAAACATTGATATCGACCAATTTTCCAATTCAAATACTCATACATTATCAGAATATATATAATGTTTACCTTCAGATCCCTCTATAAATTAATTCAATCGTGTAATTTTCCACTTTGAAGGTGCGTGAATTGATACCACTGTACATGTTATTATTGAATTAATATAGGTTATAATATATTCCTAATAAAGTGTTGATTTAATTGGTTGGATCTAAAATCCTGTCGATTCGATCTCATTGTGTAGATTTCCTTAGTTTTGGAAGGTTTTACCTATTGAATTCACAGATTCTTTCATGATGTCCACTTGATGAAACTATCCACACCGGACATTGTCAAATCATCCAATTCATTACGATTTTCATTATTTTTGACAATTAAGTTCATTGTAACAATAACCTCATGCTCAATTATCATTTCAACAAAAACTAATCGACAAACAATTCGATTGACCTTTGCCTTTGTTACTATATGAAACTATGAAATTTCATCAAACTGATTGAATTATTCAATTTTCGAATCGAATTAGCGTGACGTAAACCAGACTAATGTATAAATCATTATTTGCACAACACTTCAACAGACCATATTTCAAAATTGAATCATTCTTATGTCCATCAGAATATTGTTTTTTACGAAGCCCAATGCAACGACTGCAGTGGATTAATAATTGAATACTCACACTGTGAAAATTGACTACCTGATTTATCAACAATAAAATTATCAAGTTTGGTCGACCCTCTAGCACAACGACTAAATTTGCCAGGGCGACATTCAGTTGTTCTTCTTGTTAGAATTTTGACATTGCCATATAGACTATATAGTTCCTTGAAACCCATATTTTTCATGAAGGAACAATTAAATATACGTTCCGATTGTATATATAGGTAGCTACCGGATATAGTCATAGATCGATAATATTTTAAATGGAACCCTCTGATGTATCTACAGATATTTTAACGCCATTCTATGGAAAAAAGCTCTATTCAATGACATATCAATCACAAGTCGACATTTGATGTCAAAATGGCGGCGCAGAAGACAATTTTACGAAAATCAATAGGTATACCAATACTCTGACGTCATCGATCGAATTATCGCCAAGCAACCTAAATGAAATATCAAATGAACGGAGGATCAGGAGAAGTTTGATTATAGTTTTCGATGATACCTGTTCAAATTGTGATTCATCGCATATCTGGATTCCTCAAAGTCATTGTTTGAAATTATATCAAGTAGGACTTCCTTCGAATCTTCATAAAAAAGTTGAATAGGTACTTGCTCATATATTTGTTCATTATGAACAAAATTATTCAATAATTAACCATTCATCTATATTACACCGAATTGCGCAGTGATAATCAATAAGATAAATTTGTAGTTATAATTTGATATACTTAGTTATGAATAACAATGATACAGTGTCTGTTAAACAATGTTTCTATATATGCGTTTCTTTATCATGATACATTTATTTATTATAAATCCATATATACACGATTACAACCAATATTTCATTTTATTCTTCGTTTGGTTATTATAACAATTCATCTGGAGGTAATTAATGAACTGTCATGAGCGTGAGCCATCATTTTGGCCTTGTTTCCATCTTATCTAGCGTGAGCATCTTCCTGAAATCTTTGTTGATTTCCTTGTGATCTCGACCACCGCAGACGCCGAGAAGTTTGATGGTTATATTAGTTCGATCCGTTTTATGATAGTCCGGGTTTGTTCACATTTGGACATGTGTGTATATTTGCTCCTTGGAATAATCTCATATACGACATCTCATATGATAAAACTGGCAGACGACTATCAGTGCATCTATTATACTTCATTCAGTATGTTTTCGAAAAAACAGTGGTGCATGTGGTTCTGATCAAACAATAATGGGGTATTTTGAACTGCGGTTTTTCCAGTGGCGTAGGAGTTGGAGAGAAAACATCCACTAACCCTTCAAAATCTTCACAAATCATGTCTTGAAAAAAATGATCCCGCACAAAACATAGCTCATTATGAGTAGAAAATGGTTACGAAAGCTGTTTTTTGTGCGATAAACGGTTCCAGAAATAT